GAGAGAGAGGAAGGAAGGAAGGAAGGAAGGAAGGAAGGAAGGAAGGAAGGAAGGAAGGAAGGAAGGAAGGAAGGAAGGAAGAAAAAAAGAAAAAAAGAACTTCATCTTCCAAAATATCACATCCTTCAAGAAGGGCAGAGAGTGGCTTTAGCTCACTTTCGTGCATGGGAACAAGACAGCAATGGAAATCACAAATTTGGACACACTTCTCTGCTGTAGAATTCTCCCGAGCAAGAGAACAAGGATTCCATCCTACAGGGCTCCACAAGGCTCCTGGGAGAGACCCAAATGCTCAGGAGAAACAGAGTAAGTCATTTGTTTGAGCCCATGTCAGCATGAACATTCAGACACCACCTCCCTAAGCTGCTGTCAATGTCTCCTTTTTCTTGAGTGATGTAGAGACAGAAAAATAAATGTGCTGGGCTGGGGACATGGCTAAGTTGGTAAGGTACTTACAAGGTATGAGGACTTGAGTTCAGACCCCCAACACCAATGTGAATAACCAAGCATGTAGTGTGTGCTTATGATTCAAACTCCGGGAAATAGAGACAGGAGGATTCCCTAAGGCTCGCTGGCCAATTGGTCTAGCCAAGTCAGTCAGCAAGTCAGCATCTGGTTCAATGAGAGACCCTGTCTCAAAAATAAAATGGAGTTCCACATGCACTCCTGCGTGTGTGTGTGTGTGTGTGTGTGTGTGTGTGTGTGTGTGTGTGTGTGTGTGTATGTGTGTGTGTGTGTACATTTGCATTGTCAGTATGTCTCATGTGTACCTACCTCCTGTAACCAGACTCAGGTCTTTCTGGACTCTTAATATGGAAGGCCTTGGGTTTATTTAGTCTGGCTTGGCCATAGAGCACAAGGATTGCCAGGAGTCCTAGGATGAGGCCATGTTGTGGGTTTTTAACTAGCCTGCTTTTGTCTTTGGGGTGAATTCACGGCCCATGCCCAGGAAACAAGCTAGGCCACACTGGAGGCTCCTGCAGATTCACAACTGTTCGATGAGACTTCATGGATTCAACATCCTTCTTTATCAGACATACTCTGGACCAAAACACAGTCTTGTGCAGGCCACACAGAGAAAGCATCAACCTTTTGTAGACATTCTCTTGCTAGCCACCAGAAGTGTCTAAGACTGACACTGAGGGCTGGTGAGGTGACTCAGCAGGTAAAGGTACCTGCCTCTAAGCTTCAGGACCTGAGTTCAAGTTCCGGGACCCACATGGTAGATGGAGAGAAATGACTCCAGAAAGCTATCCCCTAGCGTCTACATGCATGTATGCATCTGCTTGCACATGTACACATGAAGAAATTAAATTAATTAATATAAGTGTGAAAAGACGGGGCTGGAGAGATGGCTCAGCGGTTAAGAGCACTGACTGCTCTCCCAGAGGTCCTGAGTTCAATTCCCAGCAACCACATGGTGGCTCACAACCATCTGTAATGAGATCTGGTGCCCTCTTCTGGCCTGCTGTCATACATGCTGTATACATAATGAATAAATAAAATCTTTAAAAAAAAAAAAAATAAGTGTGAAAAGACTAAGGCCAGGTCCCATTTCACCTCTGAACAGAAGCAGACAGGATGTGAAGGGCAGGACTCTGTGGGCATGTTGGATTTGCCTAAAATATCTGAGCCGATTGGGACTGGAGCTCTCTTGGAGACTCAGAGATGGAATCCTGCCTCTCTGTGATCTCTGCCGCAAAAGCAATAAGCAACTAATGTGTGCTGAGGAGGGAGGAGAAAAAAAAAAAAACAACAGAAACACTAAATCTTAAAGTTTCCCTCACAAACAGCAAGGACAATTAAACTCCCAGCAGACTCCGGAAGAATGTGGAGCCAAAATATTCACTGCTCAGTAATGAAAAGAATCCAGCAGAAGTACCCCGTGTCCAGATTTCTCAAATGCAAGCTTCGTGTCCCTTTGGTAGTATTCAAATTAAGTCAGGAGGTGCGTGATGAGGTTTTTTTATTATTATTTTAATAGTCATTTACTTTAATGTATATTAACAAAATTTAACACATCAAGCTCGTGGGTTTTATTATCTTATAATGGCCCTAAATTAGTTTTTAAGCATGAGAAAAGGAGACTCTTATCAACACCAGACTCCAGCCAGCTGAGGCAGACAGCTGCTCCAGGAAAGCAGAGCATGTGAAGAAAATATACTCAGTAAATAACCCAATTGGGCACTAGACAGTTGGTAAAATGAAATGATGTATGGATTGCTGGAGTAAAGGAAGCAGCATTGCATATGGGAAAGACGGAGAAGAAAGGAGAAGAAGAGGGCGAAAGAGGAACAGATCGTCACCAGAGATGGAAACGGCAGCTTCTCTACTGACATTGATCTCTTCCTCAGTGAGGTCATTCGCCCTCCTTCAAATGAAGGTCATTCGGACAGAACATGCTGGAGATGAAAAGAGAAGAAGGGAGGGAGAGAGAGAGAGAGAGAGAGAGAGAGAGAGAGAGAGAGAGAGAGAGAGAGAGAGAACGGAACACACGAGGATGTGTCTCCAGTACCTTCACGACATCTTCATCGGCCGACCTGCATTCCACAGCCTCCAACACGTCCACTACAGATCCGTCTTCTTGAACCCCCACGACCTTGACAGGAACCGAGACAGGCTTTCCTGTGAGAATGGCGGTGTTCAAAACTTCTGTGTCCTGAACGAGAGAGAAGAGGGCACAGGTGAGCAAACAGGCCAAGAGGGAGCCAAGAGGGAGAGGCGACAGAATGAGCTACTCGCTACCTGGACTCCTGTTAGGAATGTGAAACATCCCCCGACAGGTTCAAATGCTTGGACATTCGGTCATTCTTGGGCTGGAGAGATGGCTCAGCAGTTAACGTCACTGGCTGATCTTCCAAAGGACTGGGGTTTGATTCCTAGCACCCACATAGCATCTCACAATCAGCTGTTAACTCCAGTTATAGAGGATCCAACACCCTGGCCTCCAAAGGCACTGCATGTACATGGTGCACACACAAACACACAGATAAGACACTCACGCGCATATAAATAAAGTAATTTTTAATTTATATTAAAACTAGTAGTCACTCTTAAGAGGCCAAATCCTACAGTGAAGATGAAGCCACCTCCCTACTTGGAGTGCTTCTCAGGGACAGAATTAAGACACTGCCTCTGTCTCTCTGTGTGTCTCTCTGTCTCCATCTGTCTCTGTGTCTCTCTGTATCTCTGTATCTGTATCTCTCTATCTCTCTGGATGTCTCTCTGTCTCTGTCTCCATCTGTCTGTCTCTGTCTCTGTCTCTCTCTCTGTCTCTCTCTCTCTCTCTCTCTCTCTCTCTCTCTCTCTCTCTCTCTCTCTCTCTCTCTCTCTCTGAATTTCCTCTCCAGGTTTTAAAGGGAAGCATCTCCTTCCCTCTAAGGCCCCTGTCAGGTTTGTCTGTCATATATATTGTACTAGTTCGGTCTGCTCTCCCTCCTACTTCCAGGTCTGATCATGGTCTCGAGGCCCTCCTATCCTAAACCCTCCACAGCTACTCTATTATATTTAACAGGCGGCAGCAGTTGGCACTGTATGGGACATTGTGGGGCCTTTTGTAGGTGGAGTTACCCAGAAGAGATGGGTCCCTGGAGGATGGAAGGTTCCAGACAGTTGGAAGGTTTCCACCTCACACTGAAGATAATTAAGCTCAACAACTAGACCCTCTTTAGTCCCCAGGGGCAGGGATACTGTCCAACACAGTGAGCCCTACCTCCCTTCTCATCTTGCAGACATGACTGTCACTTGGCACAAGAATTATCTTTAATATTAATTAATTTGTACATGCACATCTGCAGTCATGTGGTTTTGGAGGATTTTTGGGAAAGTTTTTGGAGGGAGCGTATTGTGTGGATGTGTGTAGAGACCAGAAGACAACTTCAATGATCATTCCTCAGAAACCACCCACCCACCAAGCTTATTTAGACAGCATTACTCACTGGGACCTAGGGCTCTCTGAATAGACAAGGCTATCTGGCCAGTGAATCCCACAGACTCCTGTCTCTGCTTCCCCAGCACTGATATTACAAGTACACACCACTACCTTGGCGAGCTTTTAATAGGATCTCTGGAGACTGAACTCAGGACCTCACACCTACAGGCACATTATCAACTGAGCAAACCTATCTCTTCAGTATCTTAGTCTTAGCTTGAGATTCATTTGGAAAGCAATTGCTCATTTTGGAGGTCATCACAACACAGTGATCACAGATTTCCTACAGGGTGCAAATTAAGAAAACAATGACACAAAGGACCAAAGAGAACCGGCCACACATAAAACTCCTGCACACCCCAGCTGCCGCCAGGGCCTTCCTGCCCTTCACTTTCCAGTTCTCCCAGAGACTTCCTTCCAAATCCAGGAATGTGGGGCTTTCCTCTCTCCCTCTGGAAAACTGTTGGGACTCTAAGTTCTGTCTTCCTTATTTAGCTAAATCTGTCAATCTCATGACATACTGGTTTGGCTAGAGTTGATCCCACCTGACTCCATTAGGCTTCGTGAAAAGGCACATGACTTTAAAACAGCCAGTGAAAATATCCTAACATTGTGTCCACAGTGAAGCCAGAAGAAAAATCAGAAGCAAGACTGTAGCTAAAAGTTTTCCTGGTCCTGCCTGGCTCTCAGTCAAGACAAATCTCTCTCACCTACCAGTCCCACAGCCACTCAGACCCAAGTAAACACACAGAGGCTTATATTAATTAAAACTGCTCAGCTAACTATTAACTAGCTCTTACACTTAAACTCAGTCCATTTCTGTTTATCTATATGTTGCCATGTGTTCCATGGCTTTACCTGTGTGCCATTACATGCTGCTCCCTGGAGAGTGGGCTGATGTCCTCACTCAGCCTTCCAGCCCTCCCACAATTTTCTTGTCTGCTTATTCCACCTATATTTTATGCCTGGCTACTGGCCAATCAGTGTTTTATTAAACCAATGTACAAAATCATTATTTCACAACACAAAATCAGGTTCCTCGTCAAGATTTCTGAATTCCCCAATCCAGCCCTACCTGAAGGTCACTCACTGTCTTCAGAAATTTAGATAAATCTGTGCTTTTACTAAATTTCAACTTCCCCTAAAGCCAGTATGAACTGGGTTTTGTCACTTGTAACTGAAAAGTCTTATATGAGACCAGGTATAGGCTCTAGAGAAAGAAGCCAGCTAATGCATTGGTCTGCACCCTGGGAAAGCCCTCAGAGGAGGCACTGCTGTGTCTCCCAGACTGAGTTTCAAGGGCAGGCACAGATTTCTTACAGAGAATCATGGCTGACCCTGACCTACAACTCTGTTATAAGCAGCTTAGGTGCCTGTGTTTCCGCATTTCAACTCTTCCATGAGTGGCTTAGATTTTTGCACCCTCTCCCCATTATCCATGGACAGCCTCCCAATACTTCCAAAGGTGATCCCTCCCAGCCCTCAGAACACTGAAAAAGAAATTGTTGTGTTCAGCATCACAGAAACATCATCTACTGCCAAAGGCACGTCAGCATCTGTCCAGAGACATGCCTCCTTGGCTCCTTATTTCAGGAAGGTTAGACCCCACACTAAAGTGGATGGATGGACTTTTGGAAATGCATTTCCATTAGTGTTCAACAGAGCGGCATCACAGAAAATGGCAGGGTAAGATGAGCAGAAGATTCTTTGCCCTGTGAAGCAACAAGAAAGCCAACAAATACCATCAGAAACAACTATTTCAAATGTATGTGGGGCTAGGACAGCATTTATTCAGGAAATACAAAATCTTGGCCTTTTAAGAAAGAGGGAAAAAAACAGAATGCTGTGGAATAATCCTCTTGTACATGGTACTCGAGATTTGTCACTCGAGTTGGTTTAATAGAACACTGATTAGCGAGTAGCTGGGCAGGAAGTTAGGCAGGAAAGCCAAACTGAAAATGCTGGGAAGAAGAAAGGTGGAGTCAGGAAATCACCAACCAGATGCAGGGGAAGTGATAAAAATGTTGTAATTGAGAAAAGGTACCAAGCCACATGGCTAAACATAGATAAGAATTATAGATTAATTTAAGTATAAGAGCAAGTTAGTAATAAGCCTGAGCTACCAGCTGAGCATTTATGAGTAGTAATATTAAGCTTTGGAGTCAATTATTTAAGAAGCAGCTGCTGGGTATTTGGGAACAGGCAGGCAAGAGAGAAACTTCTGCCTACACTAGAGAACTTAATGGTATTTTACCCTGAGTTTCTCTCCTCCTCTCTGGAGCTGCTGCAGTTCTGAAAACAAATATCTCGCCTTCACACACACAAAAAAAGCCATCAGTGTAGACACCACGGGAAGGGCAGAGCTGGAGACCTTCCCAAACTTCAAGTCATTGTTACTGAGTTGTGTGTGACCTGAGTCTGGGCTCACCCAATGGGAAAAACCTTCTACTCAGAGATGTTTGTCAAACAGAACTATGGGCAACTGTTTAATTTCAGAGCTGTTAGAGGCCATGGACAACACTCGATCAAAAATCTTATGGGGAATGAGATGACTGTAGAATTTTTGAAAGGCCATGACTGACTCCTGGGAAGTGACAGACAGAAAAAGTGACAGGCAAATAGAGAGACTATAAATAGTTGAAGATAGATAGATAGATAGATAGATAGATAGATAGATAGATAGATAGAGTAATAGAAACATAGACAACAGTTTATTAGCTGAATGATAGACATATAGATATACACACAGACAGATACATAGATTGATATATCAATAGAATAATAAATAGGAACATAAATAGATTATAAACATGTAGAGTGATAGAACTATAGATATATCACAGACACAGAGATAAATACATAGACCAATAGATACATATATAAACATGATAGATTGACAGAGAGATACATAGGTAGTTAATAGATAGATAGATAGATAGATAGATAGATAGATAGATAGATAGATAGATAGATGACAAAGTGACAAATGAATAAATAGAAGACAGACAAATGATAAAGTGGTGATAGACAGATGATTGATGATTCATATATAGATGATTAACAGATATATGGTGGTTTGAATGAAAATGGCCCCCCATCAGCTCATGGGGAGTGGCACTATTGGGAGGTGTGGCCCTGCTGGAGAAAGTGTCACCAGGGGTGGGCTTTGAGCTTTGAGAAGCTCAACATAGGCCCAGTGGCTCATTCTTCCTTCCTGCTGCCTGAGGATCTAGACATAGAACTCTCAGCTCCTCTCAAGACCATATCTACCTGCACTCCGCCATGATTCTGCCATGATGGACTAAGCCTCTGAACTGTAAGCCAGCCCCAATTAAATGCTTTCCTTTAAAGCAACAGAAACCCTAAGACAAGATATATAGATAGATAGGTGATAGATGATAGACAGACAGATAGATGGATAGATGAATGGATAGATAGATAGATAGATAGATAGATAGATAGATAGATAGATAGATAGATAGATGACATTAATAGATAAACAGAAAGATGATTAATAAATGATTGAAAAGGAACTTTCCCTAGGGCAAGGACAGAGAAGAGTCCCACAGCTGCTCTGTTCTGGACATGAGCAATGCACCTCCAATGCACAAAGCTATTAACAGTAGCTGCAAGTAACTTCCTGACACATTGACTACAACCTCTCCAAGTAAAGATTCAAAATTGCTGCAATCACACACGCTGAGCCCTGGTTACGTTTCGTCTTCCAT